GATTTTTTTTTTTCAATCTATATTGTGTTTGTGGTTGATCAGATGACTGGTTTATTTAACAGTCTTAAGGAAATGTCACATTGTTATGGGCATTTTAGGTATGTTTACTAGTTTGAATTTTAATCTCTTAGCCAATTTTTGAAGCCCAATTTCTACACTTTGGCTGGACCTCTTGTAAACATGTGGCATGCAGCACCACTAGTAGAGCACCCTCTTCTCTTACTCATGTCCCATTTCTTCTAGACTTGTGCCTGGAGAGGAGAGGCAGAAAAGGAGAAGGCTCTTTTATTTAAGTGACAATTTTTGTTTTCTGTCTCTGCTGCCTTGTCTCATACTAACTAGTTCTCCTGCTTTCTTTGGGGACAGAGAAGCAAATGCTAGCTCTCAGTAGCACATGTGTAAAACAGTTTGGGGAGGCTGTGTTTTTGAAATGTCATACCACCTACTTTTGTGTGGTCCTGTTGTACTCATTCTCAGTTTCTCCTTCTCCAGTATACCCCAGGCCTATTGACCAAAGTTTCAAGTCTAGTTAACTTTAATCAGGCTGGCAGGATATTTTTGCATTGCAAAAAGTGATTACCCTTCTAGCCTGTCTCCCAACTCCAGGTCTTTTCTCCCTCTCCTCAAATAGGTATAAGGAAAGAATGTGGGCATGAAATGACAAGCAGTTCTAACACAGAAGTCTAACAAATACCAATTTTCCCTTCCTGCCAGTTTGTTAGACGAGTTCTTCCTTGATTTGGACACTTGGCAATAATCACTCTCCATATAGATTAAGTCAGTAAAGCAACCTGTTGTGATTGATGATTGGCTTCCTTGAGATGGGGGGCAGAGAAGGTAATTCTAGGGTAAAGAAGAACTGAAGAAGGAAAATATGTTTAAGTCATGGAAGACTAATTGGCTCCCATTTGTTTAAAGCCTTCTTTCAAATGTGAAATACTCCACTAATGTCTTTTTGAACTTAGACCTAGGTTGTAATTGCCAATTCCCTCCCTAGCAATGGGAAAAGTTCCACCTTATACACTCTTAGGTATATTTTACATGCCTTGCTGGTAGTTCCATTCTTGCCACCATGAAGTTGGTTCTACCACATCAGCTAGTTTGATACTTTTAAAATATTCAACTGGTTACATTATTGCCTTACCTATGATAACTTTTAAAAGATTAAACGGGGTATATTATTATCTCTACTTTCTGTAACAGTTAAAAATACTGAGTCCTTATTAAGATGTTAAAATCCCTCCATGATTTGACCACTAGTTTTGATCACTGTCCTGTCTCAGGGCTTTGCTCTTATTCTTTACTCTATCTGCAGTATTCTAATCCCAGATAGCTGACTGACTTTATTTCAAATGATTCTGCTTCCTTGCTGTTGTCTGCATACCTTGTTAAAATGGTATGTTTATCATTCTCTTCCATAATTTGTTTTTGGTTTATATGCTAATCTTGTCTGTACATCATATTTAGTAGTTTAGTATTTGTTTCTCATATTAGCATTAATTTTCAAGAAGAATATCATTTTCAAGATCTTCAATTCCTCTCTTCAGTGCTTTACCTGGTGCCTAAGTGGTATCTGACTTATATGAGACAGTATGTTCTGTTGAGTGAATGAATGACTCAAACTTTAGAAAATAGCTTTAATATATCCCACAAATTCTTCCATGGTTTTTTCATAGCTTTTTTGTTTATTTATTTATGTATTTGTTTATTTATTTAACTTATTTAGTGTTGCTGGGGATTTAACCCTGGGACCCAAGAGCTCTGCCTCTGAGCTGTATCTCTAGCCTCATAATTTTTTATTTTTATAGCCCCTTTTTTATTCCCAGTTGTATCTTCCCATAAACATCACCTCAGTTGAATCATCCACATCTCTTAATTTACCTTCCATGCTGTCGTTAGCATGGTTATTATAAAATACTTACCCAAATGGTACTCTGGAAAAAAACATCCCATAATGCCCTAGCATATTTGGTCCTGTACCTATTCTTGTCTTCACAGGTCTCTACATGTACTCTCTCTCACCAGCATCCTTTTCTTTGCAGTACTTTGAATACTAAACTGTACTTTTCTCTCCTATACCTTTACTTAAAATATATCCTTTTTTCTACTACTGTCTTTAGGTTTTAATGGGTGAATACATAAAATATAACTCCTATGATGAGATTACTCTAGAAAATGTTCTTTGCATTTCAAATGTTTGGGGAACAACTGTATATTCTCATGGTATGCTATTATTTCTTATGTATTAGCATACATATTTCCTCACTGAATCACCTTAATATGTGTTAAGAATTTATCTTTTTTTTTCTTTCATTATTCATATGTGCATACAAGGCTTGGGTCATTTCTCTCCCCTGCCCCCACCCCCTCTCTTACCACCCACTCTGCCCCCTCCCTCTCCTCCCCACCCCCTCAATACCCAGCAGAAACTATTTTGCCCTTATTTCTAATTTTGTTGTAGAGAGAGTATAAGCAATAATAGGAAAGAACAAGGGTTTTTGCTGGTTGAGATAAGGATAGCTATACAGGGCATTGACTCACATTGATTTCCTGTGCGTGGGTGTTACCTTCTAGGTTAATTCTTTTTGATCTAACCTTTTCTTTTATCTGTTATTTTCTTGTGACAATGTATAACAGTTAACAATCTTTAGGAGAGCCAAAAACACTATTTTATGATACCCCTGGTAAAATTACAAATTTATTTTAAAGGCGAGATCAGTCTACTTGCTGCATTTCAAAAGGTACTTTTTATGTATAGATCTGAACTCTTACTGTGATTTTTTTACCTTCAGAAAACTGAGCAGATCAGGAACCAATGTAAAAATCAGTTAGAGTTGAATCAACATGGGTTGTAACATATGGGTACACAAAAGCAACAGTGGGAATCTTTGTGGATAGCTGTCCTTAACTCAACTAGCAAAAACGCTTTGTCTTCCTTATTATGCTTATGTCGTTTCTTCAACAAAATCAATGATAAGGGCAGAATGGGACCTGCCTGGAAATGAGGGGGGAAAGGGTGGGGGAGGGGGTAACGGGTGGGGGAGGGGGGCTGAAAAGTGGAGAAATGACCCAAACAATGTATGCACATGTGAATAAATGAACAAAAAAATAAATAAATAAAATGAAAAAAAAGAAAACTAAACACAAAAGGATTAGGGGAACTGATTTATAAAAGTGAAAGTATTAATTGTATTAATTTTTCAAAAAATGAAACTCCAGGGTAGACCCTTGGACACATAGCAGAATACAAAGCTTCTATTTGGCTGTTTTGTGTCTATAATAATGCATATATAATAATGCCTTTTGATATTATCTTTTAGAAGACATGACTATAGGACCCTATAAAGAACTTTTAGTTTGCTTGAGATAGCTCTTTTGACAATTGATTAAATAGGCCAGGTGTTATAACGTATGCCATATATGAGTTTGTTCATTTAATTGTTGGAACATCTCTTTAAATGCTATTCTTCATTTAACAGAAGAAAACAACTGCTCACAGTTACATATTTACTTTAAAGTGATTACTTCTTATTCAGTTGAGTTTCTTGTGCATCATTTATCAGCATTTCCTTAAACTTAATCAGGGAGGTCACATTGCCTTTTGAGGACCTTACAAAAGCTTATGGTTATTTCTCTTAGGCACAAAAAAAAAAAATGTATGGGCTTATATCTTACATCTTTTTTTTAGTATGCAATTTTACAGAATATCTTGACCTCATAAGCCCTATATATGGGCTGTAGCTTGAGAATCCCTGTCTGTCTTTTTAAAATAATAAATAGACTGGGAAACCCTATTCTTTCCTTCTTTGTCACTTACTATCAGTAAAAGGAAATAATATTTATTTATATTATGCTTTACTCTATAAAGAATTTATGAAAGCTAAAGGGAAAATTGTAGCTATCTCTGGTTGTACTCAGTATACCAAAGTAAGTACATTTTGTTATTTAGCAAGTGGGATTCAGAAAAGTTTCATTTATAATACACATTTTAGTGGTCAAGTTTGTTGGACTTTGTCACAATGTACCCTGAATCTGTTTCAAAAAGAAATAAAATGTAAATATTTTGAAATAATGTTGACAGCTACAGATGTAGCAGCTGTACCTAAAGATAGGAGGTTAGTTAGAAAGATAGCAGTTTCCAGCCTAGTGATTGATATTTCTTGAAGAACAATTTTCTAATTTAATCTGATTCTATCAAAGATAAATTGTATATAAAGGGTGTAATTGTAATTATAAAGGGTGGTAGTAATTTCTGTATTTGTGAGCTAAATGAACTAAAGTTACCTTACTCTTGATTAACTCATTGTCTATATGGGCTAAAAATGAACACTGGATATAAACTTTAACTCAGTTTCACTTTGGAGAAGAATGCTGCCCTTTCATGAGATCACTTTTAAAATTCCATCATATTGAAAGTAATTTATTATTACTTGTTAATTCGCAAAAAAATTTAATATAAAGTTTAGAATTTCAGAGTGGTTTTTCTTATGTTTCTTTTTAGATATTTTCATGTTGTCTGTGTTTCAAATTTTATATCTCACCTATTTTGATTTTTTTCCCCATTTAGTTGTCATGTAAAACAAAAACATTAAATTAGCTGAACAGAGTGAAGAATTTTATGTATATGTTTGCCTGGTTTTAGGTTTACCACTGTAGAATAAAGCTACAAATCACTATATAATGTTTGGGGTAATATGTTTTAATATTTGACTTATAATTATGTTTGAATTGAGCAACTGTATTTCTTTGTTTCTTGCAATCATTCTTAACATTCAGTTTTTGAATGGTAATCCATCTGTGTAGCTCTCTTCTGACTGAATAATGTATTCTGATTTACTGTGGCACAGTTTTCACAAGCCACTTTTGTTCTTCAATATTTTCATTTTCTATAGTACTTTTCATCCCTGTATATATGTACAGGAATCACTTCACCCACCACCGAATTGCAGCCACTTCTGAGGTGGAACGCAGCAACTGTTTAACAGCGCACTTTCCCCTAGGTGCTGACAGCTGCAGAAGAAATTGTACATGATCCTGTACAGAAGGTATTTCTCCACTGTGCCATCTGCAGAGTGAAACTGACTAGGAGTACTACATAGACTGTAAGTTTCTTGTGTACCTGCCCTAGACTGGAAAACTCAGTAAGAGACAATAACAAATAACTGGGAAGCATCATTAAAAAAATGTGTGGAGGTCAGTTGAACATAGTATTGTCCTCCCTGGCTCTAAATTTTACTTTGAGGTCAACTAATTTGTGATTAGTACCAAACTCGATAGCAAAGAGATGGATATACAATTCCTTGGAAATTATTTTATTCTAAAAGTGAATGAAACTAAAATACTTTTATAAATTCATCACTTTTAATGAATCAATTGCTTTTAAATGTTTTCAAATACTCAAACCAATCTTACAAGATTTTAGAGCCATGTTGTTAAAATAGCAAGTTAATTTGTACTTCAACAGAAACATCTTAGTTAACTTTGCCTGCAGTGTGTTAGTATTAATGCTTTCTTTTGGTAAAAGGTTTGCAGCAAAGCCAATTTATGATGAACCTAGTTTGAGTCCTTAGTTTAGAAACACTGAGTTTTCATTGTTTTTATTTTAACATTTTGAAAAATGCATGGAAGAATAGAAGCAGTAAATATTTGAGCTTACACTTAACATATTTTAGTAATTGTCTCTCATTTATTTATTTAATGAGTTTTTCTTTTGTAAAAGCAATCTTAGAAGATTGCTTTCATTAGTAATAGATATGCTTATGCCTTTTAAGTTAAGAAAATAGCATTAGAAACTTCTGTGTGTACTGTCACACTATATAATATGTATTTTTTAATTTTATTTTAGTGTTTTGTTTAGTCAATAGCATGATTTGTTCTCTTTTTTGATGAGTCTATAGATATTTCTATGTAAAACATTTAGTCTCTTCATCTTTCCAGAATCTTAATATCATTTGGTTTAGGTAACTTATGTGTCATAAGTTAAATGATATTCGTGAATTTATTTATGTCTATAGATTCTCAGTGAAAGAAGGTGAAATTTAACTTAAAAACACAATTTGTTTACTTGTAAAACAAAGTGGGTAGAAGAAATTATTTTCTTAGACCCTTAAAGTCTATTCTGTTAACTCAAGTATAATTCTGTGTATTCATAATTGTACCTTATGTTATGTAACCAAGACATTTTGGTGCAAGTGACTGTTCTATTTAGAATATTTTTTGTATTAATTAAATGCTGGATAATGTTGTTTTAGGAGTCAAAAGAGGAGGTCAAATTAGCTCAAACACTTCAGCTGTCTCTGATTTTGAAGTGGAAATACCCACATTATTTTAAAATGAATTTTTTAAGAACAAAAGCATTACAATTTTTACTATTTTCATCGTGGAAGCATAAAATGAGTTAGATAAGATCTTAAGTTTTATATACATTCAAAGTGGAAACTTACTTAAATATTACTAAAATCTCAAATTTTTAATGAAGTTTTTCCTCTTCTTAGTTGCATAGACTTAAGACTTCATTTAATAGTCAAAACATTAATGAAATAAACATTTAAAAATATAGTGTGGATACAATATAATGTCCTTATCTCTAGCAAGGGGCATTTTTATTAATATATGAAAATATTACAATTACTATTACTGATTTTTAAAATTTTCTATAATGAGTATAATTGTGTTACTTAATTCCATTGTTTTGTTAACCTATGAAATGATCATCATGAAGGAATAGACCATATGTTTCATGTATTATTTTAACTTTGTGTGAACAGGCACATATTCTACATCTTGTGTATATCTGAATACATATTTTAATATTATGCAGGATCTTTAAGTGGTATTGAATCTCTATGGATAATATAAGTTCGACAACTTATTAGATTCAGTTTTTAAGTATGCAAATCTAATAATATACCTCTAGTGTATGGAGTTTGGAAAGGGAATTAAGTGGAAACTTTTAATTGAGCACACATGTATTACTTGAATTTAATGGAAATGCACCACTTGTGTAATAAAAACAAACCATTAGTGTTTCAGATAAATTATACACTTGGAACATTTGTTTATTTAGAGATTATCCTTATTCCATAAATACATACATAATGTCTGTACTTAACTGTTTTTCAAGGAGGGCTCTTCATCTTATCCTGAAATGCTAGAATTGTAGTTGGGATTATTGCTTAATTAATATTCACCTAATACTTCTGGAGTTCAGAAATAAATACTAGAGTGAAAGTAATTAAATCTTAACAAATTCTTTTTTCATACTTTCCATTAATAATAGTTTTCTACTTTTAATAAGAAAAGTGAAGTAAATTCATAAATAATATGATTTTTTTTAATAATGATATATACTTAAATTTCTACCAATGTTCTGGCAACATCTAACTTCCAAGTTGATGTTTTAAAAAAGAAATGCTTAAAAAAGCATTTCAGTCATGATTTCAATTCTCAGATGCTTTTCTCAGTTTTACAAAATAATTTATCTTTTAAATGAGGAACATACTTTTGTATTTATTCCAAACTTTTTAAAAAATAAAGTATTTGTTTCATCAGATTTTTGGAATAAGTTACTGTGATTTAATAACTAGAAGAAACATCTACAAATGTTTTGTGAATAACGGAGATGATCTTGTAGTATAACATTACATAGACTATTGTCTAAATGGCTAATATTTTAATTACTTCATTTAATAAAACTTCAGTATTTCATACATTATTTGTATCACCCAAATTATAATTTATATTCAGAGAACAATATATATAACTTGAACTTGTTTTAGAAGTAAATGTGAAGGTTTTTTTTTGTGTGTGCCACATAGTCTTAGGTGACTGGAAGTGTGTCTTAAAAGCACCTGTTTTCCAAGTGTGAAGCCCTGAGTTTAAACCTCAGTCCCACCAAATAGTTTTATGCAGCTCAAAGGAGATAAATTATATAATTATATCAACTTTTGAGATTATTTTATATATTAAATAATTTCTGCCTAAGTTAATGTATATTAAAGTTAATTTTCAGTATATATTGAATTCATTGAAAATTTTAAGTATATAAGTTTGCATAAAGAACTATGTGATGCCACAAACCTTATTATCTTAATACTGAATTAACAAGAGTTTATTACTTTAAAATTTACCTTAAACACTGAAATTGCTGTATGTCTTGTGTGTGTGTGTGTGTGTGTGTGTGTGTGTGTGTGATCTTTTAATGTATTTTCTGTAGTGTAGTGTGGAATCATGACTGCCATTTGTAGCTATTTAATCAAGTGTAAATTGCTTAACAACTTTAAGTTTGTTTTTTAAAGCTGTTAATTAGGAATCATTATACCTACCTCACAGGGTTGTTGTGAGGAAAAACAATAAAAATATCTGAAAGAGTGTTTAGCATCTGCTAGATGTGCAATGTATGAAAAGTGAGTGTTACCAAAACCTTTTAGTGGATCCCATTGTCTGCAGGGTAATCTAAATTCCCTCTTCCTATGTCTTCAGAGTCATTCTTTCCTTTCAAACTCAATGTGCTGATTTATTGCTACTGAGTTCTTCTCAATTCTTAGAACATGTCATGCTTTTTTTGGACCTTTGTTTACCTTTAACATTCTTTTGCACCATTCACATTTCCCTTTATCTCTTGGCAACCTCTGTCTAACTGAACCTTACCCCTTGTATTTCACTGTTGGTTTCTCCTTCACTAAGATGTTTCCTACCCCTTCTTCCTCCCTTTTGTATTTGGTCAGCTGATCCTTCTACAGTATGATCCTGTTTTTATCCCTATTCTAGTAATTATCACATACAATGCACTGGCTTAGTGTGGGTTTGTTTCCTTACTAGATGTAAATTTGCAGCCAGGAAGTCTTTCATATTTAACTCCCCCACCCCAGTACTTAGCAAAGTTTTTTCAGCTCAGGAAGCTTGTCGATGCAAGTCCCCTCTAAACAAATTCACAGCATATATAATTATTGTTGTTATGCTTTAATATAAAGCAACTTTGATTCTTCTATATTTATAAAATAGATTTCAGGCCCTCTAATATTCCTGTCAAAGTTATGGCTTTGTGATTAGTCTGTCTGTTTTGCCCATTTCCCATAGGAATGACTTTATTAAAAGAAACAGACTGCCTAAGGGTGCAAGTAAAAAGTTACTTTATTCTTTCTGTTACGTACCTCTCATTCCTTCCTGATTGTTTTTTCTGTCACTTGATAAAATGCTGCTCAAGTGACTTTATTTCGTTTCCTCTCTGTTCCTGCTCTTGCTCTTCTCTCACTTCTTTTTCATTCCTTCTTTCCTTAACCCAGCATTTAAAAACACTTAATTTTCAGATAAAAGAAGCTAAAAATTAAAATTCCAAACTCAAATTCAAAGTAAAATTTCCCTTCTACCTCAGCCTTGCTCAAACCAGGTTTAAAAGAGTAGATACAAAAAAGTATAAGGACATGGTCATTAATAGATTTTTCAACAATTTCTTTATGTTACTTTTTCTTTCTCCATACTGTGTGACTTCTGGGTCTTCCAGAGGTTGAGGACTAGAAGTGGGAGAGAACTAATTGGTAATAAAAATATCTTGGGACGATTCTAAATAGATGTTTCTCTTGCCCTTCTGTAGTAATTGGATTCTCAGTGTTTGGAAGTAACCCACGTGTAATTACTTGATGAGGTTGATACTTCTTTATCTCTTTCTGGTTCTCTCTCTCTCTCTTTCTCTCTTCTTTCTATGTTGTTTCTCTCTATGTCTATCATACTAGGGATTGAAATCAGGTATTACCTTGTAATAAGCACTAACCAAATGAGCAAGGCCATCAGCCCTTCTTGCATTAATTTGTTTTTCAAGTAGGGTCTCACTGTTGCCCAGGGCTGGCATCGGACACTGATTCTGCTGCCTCTGCCTCCCATGTAGCTGGGATTACAATCATAAACCACCATGCCTTGTCAGTCTAACTTTCAGTGTAACTCACATCTGTCTTCTGGAGTAAGCTTGTTCTTTTCTTGCAGCCCTCTATATAAATTCCTTTAAAAATGTCTCAGTGCTAGTTCTTTTTCTGGCATTCTTACCTGTTTCATGGGATCATATTTTTGTTTTTGAGGCAGAGTCTCACTATGTTGCCCAGACTGGCAACTCCTGGGCTTAAGTGATCCTCCTCCTTCAAGCATGTACTATGATGCCCAAATGGGAAAACATATTTCTTTACTCCACCAAGTACTGCATGTTCTGGCTATTTCTAAAGTAGTATTCCAGATTGATGGTATCTTGCCCCATTGCTTTTGGAATTTCTTTTATATTTCTGCCCCTAAATACTATTCCTTGGATATCC